AATGAAATGTCAGACCTTGGAGAAGAATTTAGTGATGTCAGAGCCGTATTTCGAGGCCACGGAAAGTTTCTTTATCTGGCTCCTTTCCTTTGCCTGCCGAGCTGTTCTCTGGATAAAGAAAAGTGCAGGTTGAAGCATAAAGTAAGCTCCCTCATTAAAACATTTCCTGCAAATATCTCATTTCAGCTGAAACTGGACCTGAACTCAAAAAGTGAAGATCTGCTATCTAGAGAGGACATGAAGAAATGTTAATTGGGCCAAAGCAGTACCCTGAAAGATTAAGCTTTTGTCTGAAATTCCTTCTGAAAATAGCAATGCCTTTCCTGGTATGTGGGGGTCCCTACAGTCTCGTGGGAGCCCCATACAATAAAGTAATTGGAAAAAAAAAAAATAATAATATATACCATAGATAGCAGAAGTATTATAAAATATTACCTTTATTTCAATTCTGTGGAACAAAATATGTGGGAAATGTGAAATAACACATGAAATAACACATGTGAATAAATGTGAAATAACAAATTTTATTAAAAAAATTGTGCAATGTTATTTGTTCTATGGGACTAATAATAATAATAATAAAAAAGCATTCACATCATATTCCAAATTTAGTCCACGAGGAGAAAAATACTCAATTTGTAAATCAACTTAGTCTCCATCTTAGATATTTCTCTCTTGATCTAGTCCCTCCCCTCTCCCAATGTGGGATATACACTGGGTATAGAAAAGAATCACCCCCCCCCCCCTTTTAAATTAATCACATTTTGTTGCTTTGCAAATTAAAATGCAGACAGACAGTTTTTGTTGTATCCAGCTGTATTTACTCAGTACAACTTATAACATCCAAGTAAAAGACACAACACCAACATGTCAGAAAGAAAACAAAAAAAGGACCACCACCCTCCATGACTAAACTCAATCAGGTGTAGCTAACCATTTTCTCAATCTTCAACTGGAGCATACTATCAAGTATAGGTGCAAGGCACTGTCAAAAGATCTCTGGGCTAAAGCTGTAGACAGTCACAAGACAGGAGATGGTTACAAAATATGTCCAAGGCTTTATTATTGCTTAGAAACACAGCAAAGTCTATTATTAAGTGGAAGGTATTTGGTACAACACAGACCCTCTCTGGATCAGGACATCACTTCAAACTGGATGAAAGAGCAAGAAGGAAACTGGTCAGAGAGGCTACCAAGGGGCCTACAGCAACTCTGGAGCAGTTGCACGAATGTATGACAAACAGTGGTCATTGTGTGCATGTGACAATATCACAAATTCTCAACAAATGTGGCTTGTATGGGAGGTTTCAAGAAAATAGCCGCTCTTCAAGAAAGACCACATGCAATCAGGACTGAGCTTTGCCAAAACGCACCTTGAAGATTCTGAGGCCTAGTCAAAGCTCAGACTTAAACCCCATTGAAAATCTGTGGAATGACTTCCACAAACGGTCACCGTTAAATTTAACTGAACTTGAGCAGTTCTGCAAAGAAGAGCGGGCAAAGTTTGCAAAGTCTAGATGTGCAAAGTTAGTAGAGACATCCCAACAGACTAAAGGCCGGAATTAAAAAATATTCAAAAACAGAATCTCTGCGTTGGAAAAAGGATCACCCCCTTGTGTCAGTATTTTGTTGAACCTCATTTTATTTGTTTCGGACATGTTGATGTTATATCTTTCACTTGGATGTTATATATTGAAATGAGTAAATACAGCTGAATAAAACAAAACGCATGTCTTCATTTCTGGCTGAAAAGCAAAAACATTTGATCATAAAGGGGTGACTCTTTTCTATACCCAATGTATTTATCAATCCCAAGAAACAAGTCCCCTTAGGATCCTTGTTATGAACCAACTTATAATTGGACACACTATACACATTGGGAAGGCATTGTCAGGGGCAGTCTTGTGATCTCTGTCAGAGGTAATAAATACCTGGAAATGTTACACTTCCACATTACTTAGCATGCATTGGCTTAACATGAAAAAATATATCTGATGCAACATCAGCTTTAATTGTGACTCTCTTCTTCAGCATTCTCATTATGGTCCAAAAACAAGAAACCAAAAAAGAATGTAAAAAGTGAAAGAGGACACTCGGAGTGCCACAATAGACTCTAGGTAAATCAGTACATTCCCAGAATGACTTGCACTGTAAATAAGGCTTAGCTGAAAGCTTTTGGCATCAACAAGCACAGAGTGTCACATCATCTAAAGCTTCTCCGAGCTTGTCGGGTTGTCAGGAGGCAGTAATACCGCTGGACAAGTCTGCCGCGTCTCACTCAAATTGCCTCATTAGTGATGGAAAATTTGCAGAAATTAGGAAATGCAGATAACGAGCCACTTCCATTTTATCTCATACGCTCTTTAGAAAGGCGAGCCATAAAAATTGCCCCAATTAAGAGAGAGCAGAGACTCCACTCCCGCGCTGGATCCAGGCAAGAAAGTCACCTTCCACTACCCAGCAATCAATCGAACGCATTGAAGGAATGATGTGGACAGTTGTAAAATAATTGAAAGGAGCGCAGCGCTGTTGATGCCCTGATCTAAGCCTTTCCCATTTTCACTGGGCAATAATTACTGCTAATTACTGTACGGACAGGAATAGAGAGTAATTTGCTCTCTGTACATTCTTTACCTGATGAACAATGAAGATTCGCCCCAGTTTATGTAATAAAATTAGTGTTTTTTTAGTGCCGGGAAAATAATGTCAATCTGGGTCTGTGACTTTCCGTGCCGGAGATGGTCTCTGCAAACTTCTTTGAGAGATGAGATCTATAAATCTAGAAGTATTCGTCTACAAACTGTCCAAAGTGTTCAAAAGTCATCACACCACAGATAGCCCACTGACAAGACAAATATTACACAATGGAGCCTTGTTTTTTTTATCTTTATTTTGGTGTTTTTTCAATTTTAGAGCAATTGGAGCAAAGTCCGGCTTCCAACTGTTTCTGTCATTCCGCGAAGGAAACTTGTGCTGAGAGATATTTCGGAGGCTTTCATTGTTGACCTCTTTCTGAAAATGCTGATTGCCTGACTGTCATCCAGATCTAACTCACTTAGAACAATCATACTGATGAGAAAAGTCAGAGTAAGGTCTAAGCTAATCTGCAAAAACTTGTTTTGGGGTCAGTGACTCTGAAAATGCTAAAGCTATTAGATCAGCATGACAGCGCAGCAACTACTTAGGTCTGCAATGGCATTCCACATACATTTATGTCAAAAGTATTGGTCGGCCCGGCTTTGCACACACATGAACTTTAATGGCATCCCAGGCTTAGTCCGTAGGTTTCAATATTGAGTTGGCCCCGCCCTTTGCAGCTATAAGAGCTTCAACTCTTCTGGGAAGGCTGTCCACAAGCTTTACAAGGGTGTCTATGGGAAGGTTTGACCGTTCTTCCAGAAGTGCATTTGTGGGCTAGGGCACTGATGTCAGTTGAGAAGGCCTGGCTCACAGTCTCCGCTCTAATTCATCCCAAAGGTGTTCTATCGGTTGAGGTCATGACTGTGCAGGCCAGTCAAGTTCCTCCACCCCAAACTTGCTCATCCATGTCTTTATGGACCTTGCATTTGTGTACTGGTGCGCAGTCATGTTGGTACAGGAAGGGGCCATCCCCAAACTCTTCCCACAAAGTTGGGAGCATGAAATTGTCCAAAATGTCTTGGTATGCTGACACCTTAACAGTTCTTTTCACTGGAACTAAGGGGCCAAGCCCAACCCCTGAAAAACAACACAGCACAATCCCCCCTCCACCGAACTTTACACTTGGCACAATGCAGTCAAGCAAGTACCATTCTCTTGGCAACCGCCAAACCCAGACACGTTCATCCGACTGCCAGACAGAGAAGTGTGATTTGTCACTCCAAAGAACATGTCTCCACTGCTCTAGAGTCCAGTAGCAGCGTGCTTTACACCACTGCATCCGACGCTTTGCATTGCACTTGGTGATGTAAGGCTTGGCCATGGAAACCCATTCCATGAAGCTCTCTACATACTGTTGTTGTGCTAATCTGAAGGCCACACCAAGTTTGGAGGTCTTTAGTTATTGACTCTGCACTGGTGACTTGCGCTGACCCTCTACGTGGCCTACCACTTTGTGGATGAGTTGCTGTTGTTCCCAGTTGCTTCCACTTTGTTATAATCCCACTAACAGTTGAGCATGGAATATTTAGTAGCAAGGAAATATCACGGATGGACTTATTGCACAGGAGGCAACCTATCACAGTACCACGCTTGGAGTCACTGAGCTCCTGAAAAGCGACCCATTCTTTCACAAATGTTTGTAGAAGCAGTCTGCATGCTTAGGTGCTTGATTTTATACACCTGTGGCAATGGAGGCGATTGGAACACCTGAATCCAATGATTTAGAGGCCTGGACCAATACTTTTGGCAATATAGTGTATATCCTCAGTTTTGGTTTCCTTTAAGTAGCTGAGCTAATGTTGTCACCAGCGTGAGTTCCCCATAGTCTTAAATGTAGAATCCATTGGAGGGCCCAGTACATGCACCCTCTAGTGGAGAAATCAGTCTGGAAAGACCAATGCTCACAATATTTTTAAACAAAAAAAAAGTTTTTTGTGATCACAAATTCTAAATTGGTCTGTGATATAGCGAAAATTAAAATCCAAATTCCTTTCTGTGTGTGTTCATGTGACCAATTGCGAGCTACTGTTCACGTGGTCTGTGCCAAATGGATGAATCACTGATTGGTTTTCTGTGCCTAAATGTCAGCCTCCAGGTTATGTGACAGCCCTGTTTAGAATTTAAAGCTTTGCCTTCAGCCTTGGTTCACATATATACGAAGTTCTGAACTGCACTGATTTGCATGATATGTGAAATGAAACACTTTTCTGCGGTGCCCATTCACATATATGTGGGCTTGCTGCAGTACAACTTTAAAAAGTGTCCTGTGTGATTTTCAGTGCAGTGCAAGTGTGATTTTCAATCTGATACACTTTTACAATTCGCATCCGAATCTTCCTGCACCGGCCTTTAAAATTGCACCACATCCCAGCCAATATACATGTGAACCCAAGCTTAGTCTTACATAGTTGTACAGGCTCCTCTTCTGTACTGAAATTGCCTTAAAGTTTTACTACACCCCGGACCCCGCATTCGCTATATCCGGTCTCCCCCCGGACCCTGCCCTGCATTCGCTATATCCGGTCTCCCCGGACCCTGCATTCGCTATATCCGGTCTCCCCGGACCCTGCATTTGTCTCCCTATATCCGGTCTCCCCGGACCCTGCATTCGCTATATCCCCGGTCTCCCCGGACCCTGCATTCTGCATTCACTATATCCGGTCTCCCCGGACCCTGCATTCACTATATCCGGTCTCCCCCGGACCCTGCATTCACACTATATCCGGTCTCTCCCCGGACCCTGCATTCACTATATCCGGTCTCCCCGGACCCTGCATTCACTATATCTGGTCTCCCGGACCCTGCATTCACTATATCCGGTCTCCCCGGACCCTGCATTCACTATATCCGGTCTCCCCGGACCCTGCATTCACTATATCCGGTCTCCTTGGACCCTGCATTCACTATATCCGGTCTCCCCGGACCCCGCATTCACTATATCTGGTCTCCCATTCCTATATCTGGTATCTCTTTGGACCCTGCATTCACTATATCTGTCTCCCACAGTACACAGAACATGAAAATGCTATTTTTTTTTTAGTAAATATAAACTGCTAAATACCTTTTCCCATCAGCAGTTAGAGCAGTCTTGTGACTTCTATCAGTGTCCAGCAGAGCACTGTTTAAAGCTTGTAGGAGTTTTCATTCTCTCCTATGAGGCTGCAGGACCCCTGACCCTCTATCTGGACAGTGCTGATTGGCTCTGTGCTGGTCACATGCACCCTCCCAAGAGTAAAAAAAAAATATTCTCTAGCAATACACACTAAACTGAGTATGTGCAGAGTGACTCATAGAGCTCTGTTCTATCAGAAGATGGATTGGGGACAGTAGAAGGAGGGGAGGATCAGAGAAGACAGGATCAAACAGCCTGTTTACATAATGCAAGGATTAACCCCTTGGATTCCCACAGCAAGTACAGCAAGCATGGTTTACTACATATACAGTCTGATTTTACTGTTGTGTGTTTAGTAACACACTTTAACTGCACACTGTGAGCTTTTCACAATATGCATTAGAAGCAGCAGCAAGTCAGCATCCAGCTAGAATCTTTCCTCCCCAGCCTTGCTGCACCTGGCCTGCTCCTTTCATTTAGTGGACTTTATTTTTTTTTTCAGTGATGGCTTCCATTACTGAAAAAAAAATTCATCACGTTTTACCAAAAAAATTCATCACATGTTTTACCTGGGACTCTGCATGAAAATGCTTAGAAGGTCACACTCCCTGCTTGCACTTAGACTTAAAGCAGAATTATAGGCAACACTTGTCAGTTTTTTCCCATCTGTGTCCCACTGGGGAAATTTCTCTTCGCTTCCTATCCCAAAGCCAAAACAGGAAGTGGGAGGCACAGTCCTTCCAAAACAAGGGCAGCATTTTGGAGATAAACTAAGAAAGGGTTATAACCTGTCGCCATTTTTTTTTTTTTTTTTTTTTTTTTTTACACCATCTGTGTCCCACTGAGAAGATTTCCCTTCACCTGCTGTCCCAAAGACTAAAACAGGTAGTAAACAGAAGTGAGAAGAAATCTCTGCGAATGAAGGAAATCTCTTGCAAGCCCCCCCCCCCCCCCCTCAGGCTCCAGAACTAGTGCCCTTATTGGAAGATTTCCCCTCTATGACTGTTCTGCAGTTAACCCAAAATTTGGGATTTTCTTTACTTTCACCTTCTCTGTTTGTCCTGTTTATCACTGCAAGTGAATCTCCCCAACAGGAGCACAGACAGAATCCAACCTCTCTCCATTCTATCTGCAACTGAATACAAGTTTTGCCTTTAGTTATACTTTAAGGCTCCTACTAAGAGGAGTAATGAGCAGACTAACCCTCATATAATGACTAACCCTCATATAATGACTAATCAATAATGACTAACCCTCATATAATGACTAACCCTCATATAATGACTAACCCTCATATAATGACTAACCCTCATATAATGACTAACCCTCATATAATGACTAACCCTCATATAATGACTAACCCTCATATTTAGACTAACCCTCATAGTTACAAAACAAAATGTGGCTTACCTTTTTTTAAGTATAGGTTCATTTTAAGAGGGAACAAATCGCCTCTAAATATAAAATACAACCCTCCTTTTTCCCCCCCCCTTTTTTTTTCTCCCCCTACATCTTATTTGGTGGGTGATGACTATGTACAGTGTAATATATCTGTTTCTCCCGATCTGACTCAGGATGATCGGTTGACTCTGTGGGATTTTTAGCATTGGATTCTCATGTGTATTGGATATTTACTGACTGCCGTATGCTTGTTTGTTCTTACGTACCTTGATTTGTTATATTTTTATACGATTTCAATAAACGCAACTGTTATATAGAATACAAACCATCACATTATGTGAAGTTGCCATTTCCAGGCACTGACAGGTAAAACTGCAGCACCCTCAGCTACCATCTACCATGTGGGGGATCACACCTACCAAAACGGAGAAATCTCACTTGAGTAGAGTCGCTCTTTCCGAACGTGTGTCTATATAATGTACCCAGAGAAGTGTAATCGCACAGCAGCACCAATAATGATGCAAAGTGTGACTGCTGTACATAACATGACCGTGACATCCATATCACACTATTGACAGTATGAGACATAAAAACTCTAATGAAGTAAAAAACAACTTGCACAGAAACTTCAATCAATTAGACACTTATACAAACACCGGAGTTTAATGCTCTCAGTGACCCTGATATTGACAACTGTGACACACAGCAACACTAACAATGACACTGACATTTACAACAAACAATACTGACAGCCGCTGACACATTTATTGTAACATATAATCTATACACCTTATATTATTCACGCTTGTGGCTCCAACTGAAATGAGACCCGAGAAGCCAGGAAGGCAGCGGATTGGTAAACAAAGATACTGCATGTAAGTTCACATAACTTGCCGAACATCCTAAAGTCCACAAAATGAAAATCAGCAAATGGGACTTAGTTCATGATGATATCCTTTACCCCTGGTTAGAAATTCGATATTGCTATCTTGTTTTACATGTTCAGTAACCTCAGTTAAAGGGTTCTATAAGGCAGAAGGTTTTTTTTTAACCTTCATGCATTCTCTACATTAAAGTTAAAAAAAAAAAAAAAACCTTCCATGATCAGTTCCCCTAAAACACTTACCTTGCTCGTTTTTTTCGATCCATCAAAGTGGCCCGTTGGCAGCCCGTCTATTCCTACATTCACAGGACACAGAGGCAGCAGCAGGAGCCCTTGGCTCCTGCTGCTGTCGATAAAAGCCTGTGAGGAGTAAGCAGGGGCAGGGCCAAGCTGCGCTGTGTGCCTATGGATGCATAACGCTCGGCTAAGATGTGTTTGCATGACTGCACCCATAGCAAGTGGCTTTTTATGGAGGCACTCAGAAAAGAGGAGTTAAGAGTATCAGCAGGGAAACCCCAGAAGAGGAGGTTCGGGGCTGTTCTGTGCAACACCACTGCACAGAGCATGGAACTATAAAAAATTTTTTTTTTTTTTTTTTTAATTAAAAGGCTTTACAACCACTTTAAGCACGACTTTGCTTTCTTCTTGTCCATTCTGTGGGCACAGCTTTCACAAGCAAAGGACTAGTCCCCAGTATTTCCTAGAGGCCTTCCCACGGCTCATCTTTCCCCATATCTACTGCACATTGTTTTGTACATTGTACACTGCACATTGTTTTTGTATCCCCCTGATGATTTTTTAACTGGTAGAGGAATAATCAAAATGCAGCAGGAGAGGTGGAGGCAGCAGAGATCAACAGAATTAAAGAAGCAGAGTGATCCTTGCTCTGCATGTCCTCAGATACAGCTTCCTATCCAGCAAGGTGAACAACTAGCAGCACAGCAGTGACCTAACCTAACCGAATGAGACTAGAGATCTCACAGTGAAGATATACAGCTATGAGGCTCTAAGCACAGGTGTGTACTACTATTTTTCAGAAGGAGTTCAAGGCAAAAGTTACATTTTTAAAAAACTACTCAACACATTCATTATAGAAAAAATGTACTTTTTTTTTTAATTCAGATTGACTTTAAAGAAGTGTGAGAACTAAAAAAAAACCAAAAAAAAAAACAAAAATCATACTCACCTCTACAGCTGCAGCATCGTCCTCACTGACTCTAAGACTGAGAACTGAGTGATCACATGGCCACGGATTGCTCAGTTCTCAGTATGCTCTGAGCAGAGAGTAGTGACCATCAGTCACCACTCTCTGCTCTGCCCCTCCAGAGCTCACTGGAGAGCTGGGCTGTGGAGGGGGCAGGAATGGCTGGCTCAGTCTTTGAGCAGAGTGCTGAGAGTCTGAGCTAGATGCCAATTATTGCCGGGTATCAAGTTTGGGCGAAAGACAGCGCTGGACTTGTACCACTAGGGGCTGCCTAGCGGCAAGTTACTGTGTGGAGAGTATAGAGGGAATTTCTTGTGTTGGGTAATAGACACCATTGGGGAGGCATTCTGATAATGACAATGGAGGCATTTTCACAGGGAACACTTGGGTGATTGGAGAGGAGCGCCCGATGTCCCCAAAAAAGTCTCACTTGATGATTTTTTATAACGGATTGTTTACTTTTATTCTCCTCAGGATTATTGTTGGGATCCTTCCAGAGCGTGGAGCGGCTCTGTGATGGCTTTAGCCGGCTGAGTCGGGTCATAGGAAAGCACAAGTGCATTCCTGTGGCCCACAAGAGAAGTATGACCAAAAAGCTTTGGCCATACTTCTCTTTTAATAAAATTACCCAAAACCATCAGCATTTCTCTTTAAAGACACAAGACTGAATGATGGAAAAAGAAACACTGTACCTCTCTGTGGCACACGGTACACAGGGTTTGTAGATTGTCCAGCGAGCACTGACCTCCTCCACCGTACACCGGCCTAATGTGGTCCACTTGCCAGAATTGGCCTTCCGTGGGGTTTCTGAGGAGCTCGTTGAGCTGCAGGGGAAAAAGTTACACATCGTTTGTCCTGTTGCACATCTGAGGACATGACACATAAGAGGGCCGGTAACCGCCTTGATCCTCCTTATTTCCAAATGACTAGCTGTCATGCAGTGGTTTAATGTCATAGTACAGCAACATCGCTGTGTGGACCCTATTAAAACTGGCATCTGACAGCTATTGTCATGGGAATGTGAAAGTACAAGTGATCAGGCAGTTAGGTTTATTGTACAATCCCACACACTGCAAGCACCACTGCCTTCAATTAACAGTATGAAAACTACAATGTGCAAACTACAAGGAGGAGAACACAAAAGAGTGTGAATCCCTCACATCGTAATGATGAAAATGTGTCATATTTCTGAACTCCAACACATGTGAAAAATGTCTATTACAGATAACTAGGGCCTTGCATGCCTCTTTACATTACAGAGTAAAATGGAATTTACGGCACTACTTCTGGGTTGTTGGGAAGGTGTTCCAGCAGTTCTC